CGAGAGCAAATGTCGCGGGAGCAACTGTCGCTGGAGAGCAATTGTCCGGGGAGCAAATGTCGCGGGAGCAATTGTCCGGGGAGCATCATTCATGGATTCCTTTAAGACAATTACTTTTACAGCTGGATTAAGTTAGATTGAGTCAATTTGGTATGCCTAGAATAAGTAAAAGGAAAAGTCGATTAAAGGCTGCAAGAGCTTGTCGCGAGTCAAATGTACACATGTCGGATTCAAGTGACTTATCTAGTGATGAATATGGAATGGATATAGATGATGATGAAGAATTACGTTTTAAAGACAAACTTCCGCCAACCGACATTGATGATCTGACTGAAATGTGCTTGTCAAAATGTGACACGAAATATCTTAGCACTTTGCTTTATATGTCGTTACGCTTTTTCGATGTTAAATGGGAAGATATCGACGAGTATTTGAAGAGTATTGGTCTTATGACGGTGGAAACCTCTCATAAATGGGCAACAGTGTTTATCAACGGAGATTATGAAGAATTCTCAAATGATTTGCGTGGTGGTAAAACAGACTGACTCGTTTTATGATGTATTTCCCGAGATTGAAGCAGATGCTAGAGCATTCGTTGTTCAAGCATGTTCTCAAAAATCAGCGGAGTTTAAAGCAACGGATCTGGCTCAGTTCATTAATGCAAAATATTATGAATTGACGGGAATTAAAAAACAAACAGACGATAATCTGATAAGATCGGAAAGAAGTTGTCATCTGGATCTCCGCAGATGGGGGACTAAATTCGAAGCGAATTTGCAACGTCCATATTTTGAAGGTCATGAAGGAGATGATGTTGTGAAACATCGTAATGGGTTTATTAATTAATTCTTAACACATAAGAATTTTTATTACACAATTACTGATGGTGACGCACCAATGTGGAATATGCCGACTCAAAATCCTCATAGAATACTTATATGTAAATGCGGCAATCGAAGCTTCCTTAATATAATTGCTATTATGTTCTTTTTATGTTTATCTCTACTAGTTCACGATGAATCAACCTTTAGAAGTGGTGAAGTTAGTCCAAAACAATGGTTTTTCAAAGATAACATACCGTTTTTTGAAAGGACGTGGCCGAAGCCACATGGTGTCTGATTTTCTTGTCGAACAGCCGAGTGGACCCTTTTTTGAATTAAGCGAAGATGAATGGAAACGAGTGGTTGCAAAATATAAAACATTAACCGATGATAGTGATGTCGACTATCTCAGTCGAACGACAACAGTCAGTATCAATATCGGAACAGACGCTTATTTCGATAATGATACAATTTTAAGTCAGTTTGAAAGGCTCTTTCAAATGCTAGAATTCAAACAGCCATATAAGAGCCATCAGATAGAAATCATCGTGGACAACGCAAGGACCCACACTACTAAAGTGTATTCGTTACGAGATTTTCGTATAGGTATTGGTGCTCAGTGTCCGACTGATAAAATTGAATATGTCGATGAAAATGGTGTAAGACAAGTTATTGATTGTTATTTTAAACAGGGTCCACACAAAGGTAAATCAGAAGGTTTGGTTGAAATATGTAAAGATTTAGGTGCAAAATTATCGGATAAAGTTACTCTAGCGGAAATTCATGAAAAACTTGCAAAACATCTAGCTTTTCGGGACGTAAGTCACAGTGATTCTATATTCTGAAATATATTCGTTTCTAAATAATTTACACTATTATATAGGTTACGAAACTAGAGATGTTGCCGAGCAAATATGATATGAAGATTATATACTGTCCTAAATATCATTGTGAACTAAATGCAACTGAAGGTCTTTGGTGCAATCAAAAGGCATTTGTTCGTTCACGTACAGATCAAAGTTTTGACAAAATGATAAGATTAATAGCGGATTCCCGTACACATTTGGTCGAACGAAATATAGCATTAAAGTTATTCCGACGTTTCTGGCGTTCAATTGAAGCATATTCTCAAGGTCAAACATATGCTGACGTGTTACAACTGTTCTTCAGTCAACTTTGCAAAACATCAGTTCAATCACATCGTCGAATATCAAATACCAATATAAACCAATCTTAATAAACATTTTTTTTGCTTTTTTAATGCTTTTATTTAGGGTACATCCCTTCATATTATATTCCCAAGCATGATGAGTGATTAATTTATCCATTAAAGGTCATAAACTATCAATTAATATCACAATACTCTATTTTTTCATGAAAAGGTTTTCCAGAGACCTCCTGAAGATCCTCTGAAGATCTCGAAAGTGTGTCCATTGGATTTGCCATCAGTTTTTACCCAAGTGAACAAATTTTTACTTGATTTGAAGAAAAAATAGGCATTTTATTCAAAGATGACCTACCCGCTTAGCCTATCCTATCAGTAAAAGCGATTTTTCTCAACATAGGAAAGAAAAGAAAAAAAAATCCTCTGTAACTTTGTAAGTGATGATGTGATGAGTCGAATGAGATAAAATATTTACCTTTATCATTTACGTGGAAAAACTAGATAGGTTTACAAAATCGACCTATACGTGGTGCACTCCGACGTGATTCGAAGCGCCACCACAAATACAGTTTTTGCTCTAGAGCCGATTTAAAAACTTTTCTGGACTCAGTTTTTCATGCTGAATCATAAAAAAATATTTTCAAAATCAAAAACATACGATAAAGTCATAAATTTCGCACATTTCGAAAAAGGATGCATTTTTCTCGAAAAACGACACTTTTCGAGTATTTCGTATTTTTCGACTGGAAATGAGTTTTTGCTAAGTCTAAAAAGTAGATATTCGTGATCAGCACCTAAAACTCTATGAAATGATGTACAAAAAAAGACAAAAAAAATTTTACTCGAAGTTTGAATTGCGGACACCTTACAAACGGCATACTCTAAGTCAAATAATCGAAAAGTAAAATCTGGCAGATCTTTATAAGATCAGATACGATCTCACTCTATGATCGTATATATTTATAAAATATTAGACGAAAATCATATGAAAAATCATTGTGTCTGACAACCTTACATCAACACAGTATACGATCTGCGCAATATCTGATGGTCTCATCTTATATGATCTTAGAAAATCTTGCACTCATATTTCATTATACATATTTCTTTATCCTTTCACAGTAATTCTCATAACTTTGAACTCTGTTCTCTATAAGTAATTTAGGCCTGCAGGTCAGTCTACTTTTACATCATTCACTACCTTGTATAACCATTATTTTACGCATCTAGTCAATATCAATACATCTATTCTTCCAAAACTCAATACAACCTACTTTTATGCCTTCAAATATGTAACTACAGTAGTAGCCAAAACCAAAAGACTGCTTTGGTAGTTTGATTTTCAGTACTTATTTCTTGTTCACCACAGAAGATATTCTGCTGGAATTCTCTCACAAATAGAGACCTTAATTTACTCTTGCAGACTGAGTTAGGAAGACATTCAAATACCACATAGTTATTATAAAAGATAGCTTTCAAAAAAAAGTAGTCAGATTTGCCTGGCTAAAATTATAAGACTACCTAGAAGTTTCTCAATTTCTTTACCTAGGTTTTCGATCGTTTCTTTTTACAGACATGACAATTGATAGACTACACTGATACCTATCTAACGAAAAAAAGTTTCTTCTGAAATCTCTGGATTTCTGTTTGGAAAATGTCGCTGTAATGCCCAATGCAGCATAACTTGGCGAGCCCACATTTCTGACCCAAAACAGGTCTTGAACTGATTGAAAAGCACGCTATCTGACAGAGCATGAAAACATACACCTAGTTAACCGTTTTTAACCCAAATCTCTAAAAAATCAACACAAACACTCAAAGAGCTTTCCCAGTAAGGACGACGGCGTGAGCATAGTGTTGACCTCGAAAGGAAAAAAATATTGCTAGAAAAGGGTGTGGGTGCGAGTATCGTTTATCTTCATATCCACATCTACACCCCGCCCCACCTAGAGATGCACCAGTGGCGGTTCACCATCCACTGGTCCACCGCAGTACCTTTGACATCGCTCATCGGTTCACTGTGCCAACCGGTGAGCACGATGAACGGTGACACCGGTGGCCACCGTCACCGTTGCATCTCTGACCTCACCCTTATTGTGATTTGTTAAATAATATTTTACTCAAGGCTGGGCAATTTAGCCATGATATTAATTGTTTCCATGAAATAGGCTAAACACATCTTTATAAGGTTTACATTTTAAATTGTTATTGTCTTTGTTTAACAGTATTTCTGTCATCAATTAAAAGTGTTCAATTAACATTTTCTCACATCTGGTTCGATGTAGCGCCAATTGGAACCAAGAAAAATAATGAAGAAAAGTGTTTTTCTACTCTAGCGAACAACCAAGATCTGGAATCATTTGACGATGATCCTGAGTTGAAATGCGAAATGTATATTCGTAGTGTTGATCTTGATAAACTTCTGATTTTAATTGTTAGCGAGGAAACGGCTTGTGATCTGATTCAACGAGCTCATTCTTATCCTCAAATCAAAGCTATTTTTATTGTACCTCGCACGAAGTTCAAAAATGAATTGTTAGCAAAATGGTCGGACTATGTAAAGGTAGGCTATAGGAAATACCCAGGTCTAGTGATTTATGCTTAAATTTTATAATAGGTTAGAATAGTACCGATCAATGAATTAGCTACTCGAATGAATTCTTTCAAATCTCGATGGCTTCGCAATGAATTTGAACGATTTCATTTCGACTTGTTCAACACAACGGAATCTATTGGTCGTACATCTAGTGATTTAAATGGAGAATTTCTTACTTCTCAATATTTAATTCATGTCATTATTAGTTTAACACCATCAGTGAAAGACAAAGATGAATTTGTTAACCAATGTACAAATGCATTGAAAAAATATAACCCAGGATTACTGAAAGATGTTCAAGAGTTTCGAAATGATTATACGCCTAGCGATGCTTTGACATATTATACTAAACCTACGTTTTTCTTCAAAGAGTTGAATATGGCGCTTCGTACACGTAATGTTGAGTGTCTGTTCCTGTTTCGTTTTTTTATACGTGACATTTTCGATCAATTAACGCAGAAACAATGTCAGCATTCAGTTCGTGTTTATCGTGGACAACGAATGCAAAAGGAAGAAAGACACCTACTTGAACAGTCCATTGGACAGCTAATATCCATGAATTCGTTTTTCTCAACGTCGCTCAACCGAAAAGTAGCTCTTCAATATTTGGGTGATACAAATATTCAACCAAAGAAAATGAATAAAACAGAAATGTATGAAGAATATGTTCTTTTCGAAATTTATGCTAATCCAGAATGTCGAAGTAGGCCATTCGCCATTATTGAAAAAAATTCTGCAGTATCCGAAGAGCAAGAAGTTCTATTTGGTGCTGGTGCAATTTTTCATTTAAAAAGTGTTCATTGTGAAGATCAAGGGGATGGACATCATCCTATTTGGATATTTCAAATTGAATTGGCTAATGGAGAAGAACATGAATTGAAATATCATTTTAATCATTTTCATTATAATTATGCAAACGAAGAATTAATTAAACTATCTTTCAGCTCATTTGGTTTACTTCTTTGCAATATGGAAAAGTACAAATTTGGGTCTCAATTATTTCGACGTATTCTGCGCAATGTTTCTTCGAATAACCTTGTTGAACAAGCTCGTTGTCAAAAAATCATGGGTCACATTACAAGTGCTCAACATCATTATTGGCAAAGTTTGCGCTGGTACAAAAGATCTCTTACAACTTATGCGATTATCGATTCAAATGCTTATTCGACAGAGATTGCATCTGTGTACGATGGAATTGGTCATGTTTATTTAGTCAGAAAACAATATAAACGAGCTCACAGATCATATCAAAAATCGCTGACTATATGGAAAACATATTACGACGAAGATCAAGACCAAATAGAAATAGGATTTTGCTACATAAATGAGGCTCGCGTTTACTTGGCCGAACAACGTCTCGAAAGAGCAAGTGAACTGTTCAGAAGCAGCTTATGCATACTTTACAAGTGTTATTCAAACACACCTATTCAAGCTACTTTAGCTGCTGCTCATTGCATACTAGGTGAAATTCTTGAAGAATTGCAAATGTTTGATCTTGCTATCGATCATTATATGGAATCGTTGATTATTGGATTAAAAACGTTGTGTCAAGATGACAGTTCTGTTTTCTCTGTCTATAGCAAGTTACAAATAGTCTGCGAGAAAGCAGAAAGAAACTTTGATCAACTATTGGCATACAACAAAATTCCAGTCATTCAAGATCAAACCCATATTGATTATTATAATAAAAACAACGGCACACGCTTTCAAATGTTATTTAAATGTCCTCGTTGTAAACACTGGCAATGGATTTTTACTGTCTTTCGACCCGTAAAACGACTTGTCTGCACTGGATGCTGGAGGAAGCGATGTCCACGACTTATGTCTTATTTTTGGGTACTAACATGATTTCAAAGACATCTGTTAATTTCTAATACAATTACTGTCGAAGATTCAATAGGAAAAAATCGGTTTTAGGCATGAAATCTCTAAAAATCGTCTGTGGAAATATGGTTAAAACTAAATAACAAAACTTTTTGTGTCATCACTCTTATTAACTATCCCAGCCTTGGTACCTCGGTACTTCTTCAGAATAATCACACCCTATCAGAGAAGAGGGGAAAAGAAAAAAATTGATTGGTGATAACGATACATCTATCATAATCATTGCCATATAGATGAAGTTCTAATGTGAGAGTGATCGTTCTAAGAAAAAAAAGAGAGCGTGGTAAGGATAAAGTGTAAACGTTTATTAAAAAAAACTACAGGACAGGATATAAATCACGTATACATCTTATTAAGTTCTCTAATGGTCGATCACCGAGCTTCCGACGCCACATAAACTCAGCTAAGTGTGTTGGCAGCAATGTGTTGTGTTGACCCATTTGTTGTTTCTTTCTCCTTTTTATACACATCCACATATTCTCAATATTTTGAGTATGGGCATGCGTTTCAGGATCAACAATATTGACCGAATGGTTGACAGTCTGATGTTCATAGTTGTTTGAATCAGATGAAATGCTATTATATGCTGCCCATTGATCACTTAGAATGGTAGCGCCTGGTAAAATGAATTCACAGATGATTGGTAGGAGAGTCGCAGCATCTCGATGCTCCACAGGAACAGCAAAGCATTCTCGAGTATCACGATCGATTCCACCAAACACCCATTAAGTATTGATAGAGCGACTATCATATACAGATTATTTTTACTATTCGTAAAGAAGAAGTTAATGCATACCCTCGATTGTATTTTCGCTTAGTCCAAGCACTCTCATCTATCTTCACGATATGCCCGACACCACCAATCGTCGCCGGATGCTTAATACAGTATTCTACACATATATCTCGTATAAAATTTTTTCAAATCGACGATGGTGGCATCACCTTTTAGATGACAATGTCGTTCCAGAAAGATATGAGAATCTAAACCTTGTGACCAGTAACACATCAAATCAACCATCTGTACCAGATCCAGGTTAAAATGCGAAAAACAAGGAACCATCTCGAATCGATTTGGTACTTTTGCATGTCCGGCATTGCCATGAATATTGATCAATGATCCTTTTATTAGCTCCTAAATACCAGTTAGTATGCCCTTTAGGGTGTGTGGGTGTTAGAGACCTGCGGAGTCAACTTTTTTCATTCCGAAACCCGACTCCGACTCCGACTCCGGCTCCGATTGCAAAATCTTTCTTTTTATGACTCCGATTCCAACTCCGATTCCGAAAATTTTTATTTTTTGACTCCGACTCCGACTCTGAAAAACTCCGAAATTTTTTAATAATGTCACTTAAAAATAAAACGTTCTCAGCAGCCAAAGGACTCTTTAATGACTTAACATGCGCACGTTTTACACTAAAAATCTCAAGTTTCTCTTTAGAAAAAACAGTTTATGGATGTTATCATCTTCAAAGTCGCTTTTTCCCCTAAAAAAAACCTTTTTGAATGTGTAAAAAATCCACAGTTTTGCTCCTAAAAACGCGTTTCTGTTACTGATTTTGCCGGTCTTGGATGTTCTTCGTCTAAACAAGGAAGAACTAATGATGAAGATAATCGTAGTACTTTGAATGACATTAATATATCTTTTTTGACTAATGTTGTTATGTTTTCATCTCACTTGATCATTCGAGTATTATAATTGGAAAGTGATTCGCTCGTCTTTCTGTCCTACAAGTGATATAAATCTATGTGACAGATGTTACACTTTATTTTTCTATTTACTAATGTTAAAAATTAAGTTTTGGTAAATCGAAAAAAAAAATATCGGAGCCGAACTTGTAACTGACTCCGACTCCGACCCCGACTCCGTCGGAGTCGGAATCGGGTTTCGGAGTCTTCCGCAGGTCTCTAGTGGGTGTGGGTGTGTGGGTGTGGGTGTGGGTGTGGGTGTGAGTGTGGGTGTGTGGGTGTGAGTGTGGTAGTGTGGGTGTGGGTGTGTGGGTGTGGGTGTGAGTATGGGTGTAGGTGTGGGTGTGGGTGTGGGTGTGAGTATGGATGTAGGC